AGGCTGAAAAGATCCCATAGAATTTGGCAATAAATAGATCCCCAGTGACCTTGGCGCAGGGCTTTTAAGAGGTGGAAGAGAGACTGCCGAATCAACAAGAGAGTTCATGAAATAAAGTTATTCAAATTCCCATGTTTAATCCAGTTTGGGCTAAAATTTCAAAGAAAATGGTAAATAACAAGTTCTAATGAAAATATTTAAAGGATAGAAGATGTTGACACAGAAGCTTTTGAGAACACCAGTGCTAGACTAGCATTTTGCTTGTTCTATTTCAAAACAAGACGAAAATTTACAATGTGCATCACCAGAAAGATGAAAAGGTATGCCAAGTGGAAAAAAGGTCATGATTAAAGTCATTTCTATACATCTTTGCTTTCTTGTCATTGTAAAGTTGAATTTTTGTCTAGTCACTTACCAGAAAGGACAAGAAGTCTTCCAGCCACCATCAAAGGCTTTAACAGTTACTTCCCAGGGACTGTGGCCTGTGATGTTCAGATTGTGACCTATGATGTTTCCATTTTGGAAAACTACATGGAAAGCTATTAGAATGTTTGTCACCAGAAATGGAAGCAGTGTCTCACTGGTATGGCCATAAGCCACTGACCTTGACTTCAATGAACCTAGTTATCAGCAATTCAATCTGTGTGGACTTGCTGCAAATCAGGCAAACTATCTATAACATCCTTGCAGTCCTTTACAAGTAAAACGAAATATTCCTTTCTTTTTTTAGAACACAAAATAAAGTCACCTTCTAATATAAAAAAAAAAAAAAATGGAGGACATATTTCTTCTTAAAAGAGCTCCTCCTTTCCTAGGACATATCAGATTTTACTGTGACTTTTGTTGCTCATTCTTTCATTTTTATTACTTCTTTGCACACCAGTGGGTTTAAAGTCAAAGACTTCCCACATAAATGGATTACATATTCCACTCTGTGAAAAAAGCTATGTTTTTTCTCCTGCATATGATTACAGAAGTCTACTGTTTTTCCCAGTGGTTTCTGACTTTAAAATTTATTAAAATATTAATAGTTTGTCATATTCCTTGTACATAGTCTTTGCAATTTTTCTGCATTTTAATTTGACTTACAGAAATACTGTATTTCTATGATACTGATTCAACTAGATTTTTAATTTTCATTATTATATCCACAGTTAAGAGGTTGAACAACTTTGTAGATGAGTAAAGAGAATAGAAAAAGGAAAAGACAAATGTATTTTTATCATAGAGGCTGAAAAAAAAAAGATTTTTGCAAAAATCTGTGGAAATACTCCTTATTCCTTCCTATAATTTCAGCCAGCATCTAACTCACATAAGTGAGATACCATTATTATTTAAAATAGTAACCCATATATATTGATAAGTATTTTGATCATGAATTCATATCAACCTCAGGTTTAAACTAAGAATAAATCCTAAGAGAAAAATAACTAACATGTTAAGGTGAAACATAAGCTCTTAATGGGCATTTAGCTACTCCAAAGGAATTGGGAATTTGGGCTCAAATAATTACAACTTATAGTTCTTAGAACCCACTAATTTGGTCATTCTGATGTTTTTAATGATTTAGAGATTTACTTCTCATTGCTGTTGTATGAGAGATAGTATCCTGATAACTTTTCATGTATTATTTCTAATCTTCAAAACAAGTATTTTACAGATGAAGAAACAAATGTTCAGAAACATTAAATAATTCACTCAGGTTTACCTAGCATCTCAGTGGTAGAACTGGAACTCAGATCTTTATGAAGCAAAAGAGCTTTGAACATGCAAATATGCAGACATACATAGAGTTAAGCATATGATCTCATTTGCATACAAAGTAATAATTTTGAAAATTCATAATCATTTGATATTAATAGCAAAATGTTAGGATTAGTGATTTAAAAGATGGTTTCTGAACAATTCCATCATTAGAAGCCAGTAAGGCTTTATTAGGGCTGAATCATGCCTGGTAATCCTCATTTTTCAATTTAGTCAATAGCTGATAGATAGAGGAATGGTAGAGTTATTCAGATAGGCAATAAGAAGTCAAAAACCATTAACCTATCTATGAATACTGAGCTGGATGATAATGCAATGAGTGAACTTCATCTAAAGGGTATTGATTAATGGACTGATGTTCATAGGTCAATCTTTTTTGACTTATCAATCTACAAGTATAAGAACATGAAGGATAACTCGGCTGTTACTGTGAAGCTGAAATAAAGGTGATATGTGAGATGAATAAATATAAATAATTTCAAAAAACTGGAATAATGAGCAGAACCTAATGAGATTAAAAAAAAACAAGCTAAAAGGGAAACCCTCAAATACTAATCAGAAGACATAGAGCTTTATGATTTTGGGTGAAGAGACTAGAGAATCATTGATAAATGAAGCAACCTTCTAAATAGGATGATAGGGTGCATGAAGGCAATGCAGTATCTGGAGGAAGAAGCTCACGGCCCCAATATCCATAGTGAGGGACTCTGAAGAACAGAACACATGCTACTAGGAGTTACCATGGTGTGAGTTCCTCAAAAGCATGTATACAATCACAGGATCAATAGTTGAACAAACCAGAAAGCTTAATCCTGGAGAAGACTTCAGAGAGATTGGATGTCTGCCTGCAGACATCCAAAGGGCTGGATTGGAAGAGACATAGAAAAGGAATTTGGCATCAGTGGGTTTGGAGGGTGGAACTAGGAGAAAGAGTCACAGAGGTAAGTCTTTGGCTTGATAGAAGGAAGAACTCCGTAACTTAGCCACAGAAAAATAAACTAGTTCCAAAATATCCATCTTTTAACCTAGCCTCTTCCTCAATCAGAGGCAGGATGATGGCCATTCAGAAGGGATGGTGCAGGGGAAATTTTAACATTCAATGGAAGTTTGACCATATGGCTACTAAGATCCGATCTTAACCAGAGATGATAAAATATTCTAAAAATAAAACTATGCTTATTAAAATATGTAGGATTCTGAACAAAGGAAAAGTATAATTAGGGTAAAAAAGAACAAACTAAGAACATAAAAATTCTAAAATAAGTAAGAAACACTAATTTGTTATGTGACTGCAAACAGGTTTTCTAAACTCTTCCATTTATTTATCTGACCTATTTCCCAAACTTACCGATGCACCTGAAAACTCATATCTTGGAAGGTGGGTTAGTGGATCTTGGCCAACTGTAATTTCTTTCTTTCTTTTTCTTTTTTTAAATTTTCTTGGCAGTTCTAATGTTTAGGCAGTTTCTATAATTCTAGATTTACTTATAGGGAAGGCCTATTTTGCTTAAGAAATATGTGTGCATAGGTAATGCTTGAAAAAGTTTAATAATTCTAATCAACCTGTTAATATTTTAGGCCACTGCAGTTTAGTATTTAAACATCATTCCATGCAGGAAACAAATTCAACCTCAGTACTCTAAGCTCTACTGGCTTAGAATACAAGAGTTTAAAATATGTCTTCTCTTATTTTGCAATGTTTAATGTAATATATAGATTATTCTAGCATCTTAGCATTTCTTTCTTAGATAACATGTTTTATAAAATAATCTCATAATCACTTACATGAGGAATCTAACATGGCCAAATTCATGAATAGAATTAAGGGGGTAGAGTAATGAGTCAAAGACATAAAAACCAAACAAGTCCTTTCAAAAACCCCTCAAAAAAATTAAGAAATAAAGTCAGTAGAATGCTGCAAACCAAAAGCTAAGTAATGGTTAGCAGAAGCATTTGAAGGATAAAGGGGCTTTCTGCCAAATGCAACCAACAGAGGGAAGTTTGGGGGATATTTTTGAGATGATGGAAATGTTCTAAAATTGAATTTGAGGGTTGCACAACTCTGTACATTTATAAAAAGAAATACATGCATTTGATATTTAAATGGATGAGTTAAATTATACTTCAATAAAGCTTTGTAACTTATACTTCAATAAAGCTTTTTTCTTAAAAAAAAATAAAGTATCATGAGTTTCTTTAAAAACAAAAAAAGGACTAAAATCATTTTTAAAAGCATGAGACATTTCTTCCTAAACAAATATTTTAAAACTAAACTTCAGAAACTTAGTGTGAAAAAACCAAGAACACGATGTTTTCCATACATACAGAGGTTTTAGCTTAAAAAAAACTTCATTTCTTTCTTAAATTTCCACTTGGGTAGGTAAAGTCTTAGGAAATATAAAAAGAAGACCTTCCCCGGTAAAACTTGTTAGAAGCTTACTAGTCCTAGTAAAAACAAACAGCTTACATCATAAAAGTTTCTAGCAGCTTGGGGCATAAAAGTTTAAGATATCATCTCTTGCTTTGCAATTTTTAATGTAATATATAGATTATTCGAGTTTTTAGCTTTTATTTCTAGGATGTTTTATACAACAATCTCATGTTTCTTACATGAGAAATCTAAAATAGCTGAAAGCATGGAAACAGAATTATGGTAGTGGGGAGAGTGGGAGGGGCCTGCACAAGTTTCCTTGGGTTAAAGTGGAGCAATTATTGAAGATTTGGAAAAAATAAAGAATTGGTATGAAACACTGACACAGCATATCCAAATCCAAATGAAGGGACTTTTAAATGTATATCAAAATAATACCAGGTAACATTATTTGCGTTTTCTGAAAGTTAAAATTGGAAAGTCATTCTTCTGAAACAGAAGACTTCATATTCACTGATCTCATAATAGTGATGATACTATATTCATTGCTATGAAATCTAATGTTAAAACCACTTAACTTGGGTTCTTCAGGTTTGGCAAGTGACTCCATGTTTCTCATTAAAAAAAAAAAAAGACCACAACTGACAATGAACTGGCCAGTCAGATATGCTGATTTTTAATCTGTGCTTTCTAGAGGATAGAAAAGAGTTTACCCAATTCTAAATCAGTATTGAAAACAAAGCAAATGAGAACTCTTGGCTCGAGCCAACATGCTTCCAGTGCCTACATACTTCTTTTTAATTAATTTTGACAGGTCAAACATTTTCAAAACTTTTCCATTAGTGGAAGCTAAGAGACTACTTACAGATGCACAAGACTATGAGAAAAAGGAGGTATGTGACCAGTTCCCGTAAAACACTTTTAAGGTATTTCTCTCGGTTAGTGTTGCTTTCCTCCATGAGTCTTGTTCCCCAGAGACCTTTAAAATAATAATGGAAAAAAAGAAGATGTCATTTAAGAAATGTTATGAATGACAAAAGGGAAAAACATGAAATAAATAGTATAATCTGTACGGGGAGTTCTCATTTATAAATATGAACACTTTAGCAATCTCTGAATGTGATTAGGAAGCTGGGTTTAGCAGGAATAGCTTTTATTTCAGATCTTCTCCTGTTCTCCTGAATGTGCAAAACATGAGGCAACAATTCAATCATCTTCTCAACTCCCAAGACCATTAGCAAATATTTCAGTAAAAATTTAAGACAGGAAACGAGGGCAATTTCAAAGAGGAGATTAAGCAATTGTGCACAACTCACAGCTCTTTCTATTTCAGAAAAAAATACAACCTGGTATCTGACTACTAAACCCAGCTAAGTAGATAAAGGACTACATTGCTAATGACTTTTAAGGTCACCCCAGTGAAAAGAATTTCTGGTTGGTACATCAATTCAAGTTGGAAACACCCATCAAGCATCTAACGCGCTGGCAGAAAAGCTACTCTGTGCTCATCTTTGTCCTTTAAGAAACTCCATGGTGCCTGATTAGCTTAGCAGATTTTTAAAATGCCAATTAACATATGCTTTTTAAATTAAAAGCAACAGTTCATCCCCTACCCGCCCCACTGAAGAAAAAGTAAAATCAGCAATTATGTTCTACATTTTAGCAGATGGAAAAAGTGTTGGGATGGCTACGTAAAGATGACATAACCCTCCGTGAGCTTGCTGGAGAGAGTTACCACAGTTTTGGATTCTGCCAGCAGACAGACATGGTGGCCATCCAAACCCCTGTTAATGAACAGTGTGGTCAAGTCACATTACTAGTTTCTTGGAAGAACCTTAATGTTTTCCAGAAAAGACAAACTTCTCAATCCTTTCTGATGAATTAGGTTGGTTGTTAATAATCCTTACATGTCCCCTCATGCTTTTATTCTACAGACCTTACCTCCTTCAATAATTGAAATTCACATGGCACTTAAACTACAATCAAGCCATTCAGAACAGAGGGAAATTTTGTATAGAATCTTTCACTGTGAAGAAATGACTTCATCATTAGTATTATCTTAGGATAATACATTAGTTGTACTCTTAAATTTGAGTATATGCTTTCCTTTCCTTTCCTTTCCTTTATTTCTCCCCAATTTCCTTTAGGAAAATCAGCATCTGAATTGAAAGACACTGTGTTACACATCACAGGTTTTACCACTATGAAAATGGAGCATAACTTATGACCAGGTTTGCTTCTGCCAAGATCTGGTAGTCGTCAAAAATTACTCACTCAAAAGAAATGCAGCAAGCAGAATGTTTGTTCATTGAAACTCTATCATATTAAAGAATTATTACAAATTTAAATGACATGGAAAATTACAACTTGGAATAACAGAAGCAGCCAAGGATTAAGCTCAGTAGTCCCGGATACAACCACACCATTTCTTTTGGTAGACTTCTTTTGGAGCCCCAGTCTAAAATAGTCATGTGAGTAAAGACTGTAGTCTCCTTGGCATCAGGAAGGGCTGCTACCTTGCCCTACTTGGTCAGGGATTTCATTCTTTCCCATGGTTGACAGATAACCACATGTAAACAATAGGAATCATTCTTAATATTCACAGATGGTGTTGTTGGCCTTTAAATGGAAAAAAAAAAAACAGATTTCTATCAAATTTTATTCAAGCTAAATTTGCAATAACCTATGGCAATTTAATTCTGGCCCTTAAATGAGGCATTTCTAAGAAAGAAACAAGTCCCCTTACTTATATTTTTATATGATCAATTATTAAGTGTTTTTTACTTTTTCTAAACTATTCTACCTACCTCCTCAAATATTTATGGGTTTTAACATTTTCATTCCATTTTCTCACTCAGTGTGTGTTTGTGTGTGTGTGTGTGTGTGTGTACATACATATAGGATCTACTTTACATTCTGATGGGTGAGAAGTGACTACATCCACAAATAGGTAAAATAATTGTCCTGCAGTCAACTATTTCTCTTGTTTAATATCACTGATAAAATAAGAACAGTTAAGTATGTAACTCTTATCCAAAATAGGGGAACTTGAATTGTACATTCCATAGGTGGCTTAGACTTCTATGGCCCAAAAGATTTTTCTTTTCTTTCTCTAGAAACCTAGTTTTCTTGTCTGGGTTAATTGCATCAAGTCAGAAATAGGCCCTCCTCTTAGCCCTCACATGGAGCTGTTCCACAGTCCTGACAACCTCTTTCTTCCATCCTCATGTGTCTGGTTGTGGCCTTAGTCACCTCTCCCCACCAGCCTGCTCCTGACCTGGGGTTCAGAACCATCCACCTCACCCCATCCTCTCTGTCTTCCAACTGCCTACTGGAAAAAGTTCCAATTCCATAAAGTTAGCTGCAGGTTTGCTTGGTCCTGCTCCCTCGGTGGTTCCCTCCCTGAATTTCCACCTCATACTTTCAAAATGTAGCTCAAATTTGACCCACTCTGGAAGTCTCTGACCTCCTCAGGCAGAACTAGCCCCCTCTTCTTTGGGTTCTTCTATCCCTTGGACCTGAGTAGGGGTAGTAGAGGTGATAAAAAGTTTAAAAAGTTGGGTCCTGGTGCTATTTTTTCTGTATCCCTAAGACCTACCATAAAAGGGATTCTCAAAATATGACCATTGATTGCATGAATTCTGTTACTAGCATAACCTTAACAATCTCCAAAGAGGAGCAAACTTCCCTCAAAAGAATCCCTCCAGGTAATGAAAATACAAACCCCCATTTGTTCAAAATCATGGTGCAAACAAAAGAGGAAAAGGAAGCGATAAAGTTTGAGTTAAAAATAAGGGAAAGTAACAGTAGCCAAAGGGTGGGGGGGTGGTTGGAGGAGAACCATGTTTACTAACTAAGGAAAGGATAAACAAAACATGGTATAGACATACAATGGGACACAATTCATTCATAACAAGGAATGAAGTGCCGCTACATGGATGAACCTTGAGAACATTATGCTAAGTGAAATAAGCCAATGCAAAAGGACAAATATTGTTTGATTTCACTTATTATATTAGATAGATATGGATTGAGAATTTCATAGAGGCAGAAAATAGAATAGAGGCTATCAGAATTTGGGGTAAGCAGGAATAGGGAGTCAGTGTTAAATGAATACAAGGGTTCTGTGGGATGATGACAAAGTTCTGGAAATAATAAAAGTAAAGTACATTCATTATGTTATGAATTTACTTAAATGCCACAGAATTATGCATTCAAAAATGGTTAAAACAGCAGCTGGAGTTGTGGCTCAGTGGCAAAGGGCTTGCCTAGCATGTGTGAGGTACTGGGTTCGATTCTCAGCACTGCATATAAATAAAAAATAAAGATCCATTAGCAACTACAAATACAAAAATAAAATAAAATGCCTTAAAAATGGTTAAAACAATATTTTTCTGTTATATATGCCATTTTTTTTAAAGAAAGGCAGGCTCTCTTACTCTCTAGATCAAGAATTTGGATATGCAAATTTATCTGGAATATTCTAATGAATTCACATTTGTAAGGAGAATGGATGGCTGAAGTTATGTTCGGGCATTCCAAGGATATACTATAGTGGATAATAACACCTTTGGGGTCCAATGCTTGGAATTAAATCCTGATTCAAGCATTTAATAGTTGTGACACTGGGCAAGTGATCTAACCTCATCCGTAAAATGGTGGTGATGATAGTACTTGCCTCACAGGGTTGTCCTGAGGATAAAATCAAAGTATGTACATAATAAAGAGTTCAACACAGTACCTGGAACACAGTGAAGAATGGATTATTATTATTCAATTTATCAACTTTCAGCAAGGCTTCTCAACCTCTACGCTCTTGACATTTGGGGCAGGAGATAATGCACTGTGGTAGGAGCGGGGGACCATATGTGCATTGTAGAATGTTTAGTAGAATCTTTGCCCTCTACCCAGAGATACCAGGAGTGCCCCTCACAAACACACACCTCACACCCTGATTTAAAAAAAACAAAAATTGTACTGGGAACCTGCCAAAGACCCCTGAAGGACAAAACTGCCCTTGAACTCAGGCTGAAGGTTGAAGGCTTCCAATTTAGAACAATGCACTGCTGTTGATGAAATAAGACTGAATTCTGAAGCCTTAAGAAAATTAGATGAATTCTCATGAAATGCAACAAAGAATAGTGGGTTCCATGTTTATTGTTCTGGTTTAGTACCATCAACTACAGCCAAGTTCATATCTTTTTTAAGTCTTAATCACTGTGAATATTCTCCCCTAAAGATATCAAAAGGAAAGGCAGGGAAAATCAAGAGTACAGCACAGTACACATAAGAGTACAGCAAAGTCACTATCAAATACAAAAAGCAGACCAATTTCAATATCAGGGTCTGATTCCTTTAGAAGAGTACACCTAATATTTCACTTGAGCCCTAGCACCAATATAGCAGAGACTGCTAGCTGTCTAACCAAATCCATTTCTTCCCTCTAGACAAGTGGCTATTATCATACTTCCCAACCTCTTTTGCTGGTATCCTTTGCTATGTGATTATGAACTTTGCCAATGGAGCGTAAGTGGGGGTTATGGGGACCATTTCCAGGATGAAGCCTTTAAGTCAACAGCAGTGACAAGCCATCTTTATGCTCTAGTCACAAGAACCTGGATATCCAGCTTTGGTCATGGATATCATGACAGGGCCCTGGCAAAGCCACATGAAAGAAGGAGCCTATGTCCCCGAATAACCCCATGGAGGAGAGCTGCCACTAACCTGGACACCCTCCTTAGAATGTAATGAGGATAAGAAATCAACTTTAGTTCTTCAGGCCACCAAATGGGAAAAAAAGGTGTTTATTCCTTATAGTAACTTAGCTCACCCTGACCAATGTGACTAGTTGAACATTCCTAATGCAAAAATTTGAAATTCAAAATGTTCCAAAATCTGAAATCCTTTGAGCACCACCTTGATCCCTCAAATGGAAAACTCTACTCCTGAATTCATTTGATATATCATAGTTAAAATGCAAGTGCACTAACATATTGTATAAAATTATTTACAGACTATGCATATAAGGTATATATGGAACATATATGTCATCTTTAGTCTTGGGTTCCTGCCCCAAGATATCTCATTGTATATGTAAATATTTCAAAATCTGAAAAAAAAAAAAATCCAGAATCTAAAATACTTCTTGGTCCAAGTATTTCAGATAAGAAATATTTAACATATATTTTGTAATTTCTTAGGAACCAAAATAGCCCAAGAATACATATTTAAAATAACAAGAAAAAACTGACTTTAGCAAGTTAATACAATCATAAATCATTCGACTTTAGAAATCCAGACTATATGATAACTCAAAGAGAGTGCCACATTTTACCTTTATACTAAGAAAAGTTTTAAAATATATAAATAAAGAGTAAAGAAGATTGTTGGGAATCTCTCTTAGTCTGGGGCACTGCCTGTATCTTCCAGCCATCCTTTGCTGCCCCTGGTCCACATTTTCAGCACCTTCACCCTGGCTACTTCCTACTCAGTCTCCTCGCTTGGTGTCTCCCTTTTCAAGTTCTCCTGAAATACAAGTTCTCCTGCTCTCCAAGCTGCTGACTCCTAGCTCTTATCAGCATGTTCTGCTCCTACTCAGAAATCTTCAGTTGCTTCTTAATATTTAGGAAGACATTCTCAATTCCTTGTTTAGATACAATGTATCCCACAACCAGCTCTCAGCACTTCTTCGCTCACCATGTTCTACTAGAAAGACAGATCTATCTACTGTCCAAGGAGCAGGAAGGACCATTTGCTGTCCATCTCAGATTCATGTCATTAAACAACAACCAAGTATGCTGAAGCTTGTTTAAAGTCAAAAAGGCGGGAGAACTCCAGACAATCTCCTGACCACTCCAAGCTCCAATAATTTCTCCTACCTTTAAAAATCAAAAAGTTACTTTCTTCTGATCCTGGGGCACTGCTTACATATTACAAAAAAGATTTCCATCATCCGTATCCTGAGAGGGGAAAATAATGGAATCCATTTATGGTTGTTAATTTTGCATTTCTTGGTTCTCTCCATAAGAAAATGGTGATGTACCACTCTGGTTTATTTCCTTTCCTAGCTGCTAGCACATGATTAACTACATACTAGGTGATATTTATCAAGTTGTTTATCTAGTAAGCAACAAGAATGCCAACTATATCTCTCCCTAACAGAAATAAAACAAAATTTAAAACATTTTCTATAATTAATAATTATGCTTGAGTCTCCTCTCCTATAAGTTAGACCCCTGATGGATTTTTTTCCTTCTTATATTTATCAATTAAATATAACTGATATTACCAAGGAAACAGATGAACAGATTCACAGGGCCTACCACTGGGAAGGGGTGCACAGCCTCCATGTCCTTTCCAGGAACACCACACTCCAGAAGTCCCATGTGTTCAGCTATGTGGAAGTTCCCACTGAAATGGTTTGACTAGTATTCACTGTAATAGCCCTCAAATTTTTCTTCAAAAGAAATAAATGTGTATATATCCTCAAATAAAAATACATATTTCATTTTATTATATTCCATTATTGAGTTTAGTGAAAGGTTGTTTTATTAAATAATCTGAGTTTTAAAAGATCATGTGACTTATTAGTATTTATTAACTTAAACTTCTCTCTCACTTCACTGACTTTTTAAAATCACATTTTACATAGTATAAAATAATATCTAATTAATTTTGATATAATTTTGATCCTTAAAAACTACTAGTGCTTTACTAACATGCTCATTTAGGTTATCAAAAACTATCTTTTGTTCTCCATCATATCCTTAACCAAATACCCTCAATTAAATATCCTGAATCAAATAAACTAGTACAAGCACACACATAAAAGAAACACAATTTATAATATTTATAAAGCACTCACAATATGGCAAAGGCTTCCTTCCCATTTTGGATATCTCATTTAATTCTTCCAACAAATCAAGAAGTACTATGATTATCTCTTTTCTTTTTTAACAGATGCAAAATTTAAGAGTCAAAGAGGTCAAACTTGTTCAAGGTTATATAGCCAACAAGTAGCAGAACTGGGACTCCAATGTAGGCCTGACCTGTCTTAATTACACTGCTATAACAATATCTGTAGAGTTTTTGTGAACCATTTCCAAAATTGACAGGGAAATGTAGGGAGGGTTTCCAAAAAACTGAGAATGGAAACTTGTAAAGATGGATATTAAAATAATTTGGTGGTAAGAGTCAATGCAACACTTTTCCAAGGATGCGTCTTACAAAAATTTATAAAACAGGATCTCACTTGCTACTATAAAAATCTGTGTCCTCTTAGTAGGCACCAGATAATTTGAAAACTCCTCTCCTGCCTTTTGAGTGCACCCAAGTCATACACATTTATCAAGTGGCATCTGAAGATTTCATCATTTTGTTGGAATTCCAAGGAACATTGTTATTTAAAAACAACTTTTTTCTTTTAAGCAATGTAATCTGTTCTTTGCAACTGTTTTAGAAAAATGACTAGAACTAGAAATGGCCCAAACATCTACTATCATAGACATTATTTTTATTCTATTTATGGTGTTCTCAACAACTCCTCCCCAAATTGTGATACACACATCATCAAAACAACATCGATGACAACCTAATGACACCCCTCCCATAATTTGGATAACACTGTGTTGTTTTCTTTCCAGAACGGAATGGGGGAATAATGGAACATCAACGCCGGAGGAACAGCAGGCAAGGGAGCTAGTTTATTTTGTTCTGGATTTTGTGACATTAAGAAAACATGAAATTGCAACCATCATCAGTTATACTGGAATCTTCATCCCCCCCCCCCCCAACGAAAACCCAATTTGTCTTTCACTTGTTCTCACTTGTTTAGGATATGTCTCATGCGGACATATCCTAAAGAGGGAGGAACCCAATAAATTCTGACCAACACCGGCTCAGTGGAATTCCACGAAGGGTACCGGAAATACAGCAGAATTAGCAGAGGTGGGGAAGGCGCTTCCAAAGGAGGCGGGGACCTAGAGGGGAACGCGAGGTGGAGGCCTGGACAGCTATCCGCCAAGGGCGAGAGCTCCGGCCGCTAGTGGCAACTCTGGTTTGTGCATCAGCCACTGCTTGTCGCGGTCTTACCTCGCAGCCCTCGAAAAAGCCTCTCAGCCCAGGCCACGCGGGGCGGCTGCCCGTCCAGGGGGAGGTGGCGATGCAGTGGGTCCCCGCCGCCGACCGGGCTAGGGCACGGCGGACCCTGGTCCTCTCGTCTGCGCCGCCTCCCGTTCGGGTGGCCAGATCCGTGGTAGCTACTCAGCCCCCGGCCGCGGGCGCCCCCAGAGCTCACAGTGGAAGAGACTGCTGACCTCCGGCTGCCCGGGCGCCACTCCACGTCCATCTCCACCACCATTCCCCCTTCTTCCCCTTCCACCTCCTCTTCGTCGTCGTCTTCCTCAGCCTCGAAGCCCGGGTTATCGCGGCTCCACGCCTGCCTGGAGCAGGACGAGAGCGGAGGAGAAGGGGAGGCAGAGGCTCCCGCTGGAGGGTCCCGCGCGGCAGCCTGCCGGATGCGCTCCATCTCGATCTCCAGGCCCCGCTGCTCCCGGAGGCCGCCCGGGGCTGCGAGGCCCGCGCCGCCCGCCATCAGCCGGCCCGGGCCGGGAGCTCGGGGCGGGGGCTGCCGCTTCACGTCCCCGGGCTGCTGCGGCTGGACGCGGCTGGAGTTCACCATCGTGGTCACTGGCGCCCGGCGCGCGGATGCGCTGCGCCGCCCTCGGTGCTGCCCGCCGCAGGAGCCATGTTCTTTTCTTCCCGGGGCCGCCGCCGCCCGCTCCCCGCCCCCGACCGCCCCGCAGTCCCGCGTCCCTCGCCCGCCCCCTCGGCCCGCCTCCCCTAGCCTCTCGCCTCGCCTAGCCCAGAAGCCGTGGCGCGCTGCTTGGGGAGGCGCGAGGAGATTTCCCCCACGGCCGGCGCGCGCCCTGCTGAGCCCCGGCCCGCGTTCCAAGTGGAGTCGGAGCTGAAGCCCCGGCGGGCGCCCACGTTCCATTCGGGTAGAGGCTCAGTAAGGGAGGGAGTAGCTGATCCGCCCGACTGCGGGGAGACCTCCAAATAATGGTGCTGTTTAACTGCTAGCCACTATTGCCTTGATTTATTGAAGCGTTTAACGCAAACACCCAGAGAGAGAAATATCGAAATTCTTTGGTAGGATGGCGTGAATTAGTAAAATCCAGCTAAAACTGAAGTCTCAGCAGGAGCAAAGAAAACTTTCCCTCTTTTGGAGACCACCAGCACACTACTAAGACTGACTTGCTTTGCATTCTGCCACTTTTCTCTCCCTGATTTTGCTGTTTGGTGGTTTCTTCAGTCTTTAGTTGGCTTCTCCACACATTGTGGGGATCCCAAGGATTGGGGCTTGGATCTCAGATCACTAGTGCTTCCAAGGTGATTTTATGTATCCCCTTAGCCAGCACTAGCCTCTGAGTAACAGAGTCCTACATTAGGCCCGAAGTCTAGAAATTTATTTCTGTTCAGCTCACACAGCTGACACAGCTTACACAGACTGGACGTTCAAACTCAATCTACCCCAAATTGAACTTTAAATCCTTTCTCCACTTCTAAAACTGCTTCGCCCACACTCTCAGTTGAAGATCTATGCATCAGCACTGCCTTCCTGACTTCCCAAGCTACTTTTCTACATGATACTTTTATCTGTCTGCTCTTCACCTCCTGCACCTCTTGTTCTCTGAATCTTGTTATTTCTGCCCCCAAATGTCTCTCTGATGAAATTTCTGCTTTTCATTCCCACTAGCCTTGTTTTACATCTTGTTATTCTACATTGGGGCAAATGACCTCCCTTCAATTCTACCTCTTTTCTCCTTGTCAGTGTTCCACTGTTTCCAAATTATATTACAGAATCAAAGCTGCTAATTTATCATATTGATGCTTAGACATCTCTGTGGGCTTCCAGCAGTTTAAATAACATTTAATTTCTGTAGTTTGCTTTAGTAAATGTTCATGGTCTGCTCCTGTATTACTTTGCTAACACAGAGCTACCATAACAAACTACCAAGGTCAGGGTGGAACAATGGAAATTTATTTTCTTTAAAGATGTTGGTGTGAAAATGGATCATCTTTTCTCTGTGTCATTACTTGGTCTTCTCTCTAATCTTCTTTTCCTACAAGGACACCAGTCATATTGGATTAGGAACTTCCCTAATAAGTTCACTTAAAGCCTATCTCCAAGTGTACCCATATTCTGAAATTCTAGAGTTAGACCTTCAATGTTTCAATTAATGGGAGGACACAATTCAGCTGGTTACAGCCTCTAAGATACTTTTCTAGTATGGTTTCCCATTCTGTACATCTGTCTATTCAGTATTATTTGTTGGTTCCTATGCACTCATACATGCTGATCATATTTAGATAGTTATGGCTACCCATCACCTGATCTAGGTGTCTGTGTCCTTCTCCTGATTGTAAGCTTCTCAAAGGCAGGACTGGTGACTGGTCCAGAGCACAAGCCTGACTCCTGCTATTCATCAGTTCCTTCTGTAGATAAGACATTTCCTGTGTTCCAAGTAAGGATCTAAGCACATTAAACAGAGTGTGATATAGTTCTTGGCTTCCAGAAGAGACACATTAACCAAAACCAAAAACAGAGATTTCCATCCTAAACAGATTTTATGAATCCTGTCATTCAAGAGGCTTCTAAAGATGGAGTGCCCTGAGCAGCAGCACCTGTACTGCATTGTTAATTCAGTTTTGAATTAAGAGATAAGAGGAGAGCTGGGTGCAGTGGCACATGCCTGTAATCCCAGAGGCTCTGGAGGCTGAGGCAGGAGGATGGCAAATTCAAAGCCAGCCTCAGCAATGGCGAGGGGCTAAGCAACTCAGTGAGACCCTGTCTCTGAATAAAATATAAAATAGGGCTGGGGGTGTGGCTCAGTGGTTGAGTGCCCCTAAGTTCAATTCCAGGTACCAAAAAAAAAAAAAAAAAAAGAGGAGAGCCAGGAATGAAAAGAGATAACAAGATCTAGTGCAATGTTTTTTAAATATGACTTGGACTTCCAGTATCACTTGAAGGATTTGTTAAACATATAAATTCCAAGTCCACACTCCAACTTCATTGGTTCAGAAACTCCAGGACCTCAGTCCTGAAATTATAAATCTTCTGAATTCTGGAGCACCCTAAGTTTGAGAAGCAGCAGTATGTTCCAAATGGAAAGGCTTTCATAATTGTTTTTTCCATTGTCCTATGCTTCATTATTACCATCGATGCTATCACCTAGAATCCCAGTGTTGGAAGAAACTTCAGTGGTTTTTAAGTCAGTCTGAATCTTTGGTTTGTGACTGCAGTCACAAAGGCAGACTGCCTGCGTTTATGTATTGCTCTCTACTTCTGAGCTGTGTTACCATGGACAAGTTATCTCACTTGACTGTGTCTGTAAAAATGGAAATGATGAGAATGCACATTTCATAGTGTTGTGTGGATTAGGTGAATTAATACACATAAGTATCTTAGTCCATCTGGTGTAGGATGCTACAATAAAATTACCAAACATGAGTGGCTTATTACAGTTCTAGCATCTGGGAAGTCTAAGATAGTGGTGCCAGCAGGTTTGGCGTCTGGTGAAGGTTCAGTTTCTGATTCGGAGGGAACCTTCTAGCTGTAGACTTGTAAGGTGAAAGGGAAAAAAGAACTCTGTTATGGTTTGGATCTTTAATGTCCTCCAGAGGCTTATGGAGTGTTAACGGTTTGGTTGTCAGCCTGTGGCCCTGGTGGGAGGCAGCTTTCTGCATTGAGGCCTAGAGTGAGGTAGTTACGTTGTTTGGGACATAGCCTTGAAGGGAATGTTGGAACCACGTCCTTCCCTCTCTTTCTTTGTTTCTTGGCTTCCATGAAGTCAGCAGGTTTGCTCCACCACACACTTTTGGTCATAATGGTCTCCCTTACCACAGGCCCAATGGCAATAGAGCCAATCAGCCATGGACTGAAACATCTGTTAGCAAAAATAACTTATTCTTCTTTTAACTTTATTTATCTCAGGAATTTGTCACAGCAATAAAAAACTGACTAACACAGCCCCTTTGGACCTTTTAAAATAAGGGCAGTAATCCTTTTTATAAGGGCCTCATTCCCACAACCTTATCATCTCTCAAAGACACCATTGCATAATAGCATCTCTATGTGGGTTTGGATTTCAGTATACAAATTTAAGAAAACATTAACATTCAGACTAGAGCATTAAGGCATGTGGAACACTGTCTGGCAATGGTAAATGCTAGCAGTGCTAGGGTTGTATTAGCTTGTCTATCTTCAATAATTATTTTCAACTGCTATAATTGCTTATTTGGTCATCTTTGTCCCAATTGGACTGTGACCTTCTTGAGCACAGGGGCTCCATGCCAAGCACAGGATTTTATAGGAAACACTTACTGAGTACCACTATGTACCAAGCCCAACACTATGAGCAAGAGAATAATCAAGAAAATAGGCTAAAAGCCTGGCCCTTACAGGGGAGGACTTACATTCCTTGGGTATTTTCTGAGTGAATGAATGAATCTAGTCAGGTAGAGGGTCTGCAGTCTAGTGACACAAGGAAGAGAGAAGTGATAGGAAAATAATCATATCCCGGGGCAGTAGATTGAGCAAATTACTTCAATTTTTATCTATATATTGGGTTTAAATTTCATACTTTTACTACGCATATAAAAACATTATTTGATTTAGGAGGAACAGAACAAAAATACTATTTAGATAGATCCTTTGGGGAATTATATTCTCATTTGAGAGACACACAAGAAGGGGTTCAGAGAAGAGATTACCAGGCTGAAGTGGGAGGGAAGGTACTAGGGCCAGATCAGATTTTGTTATGCAGTAAATATTAATAGGTCTGGGTTTTTAACAGTGTAAATTATTTAAAAGAAAATCAGAAACATTCTTCCTGATTCTATTACATCACCCTTAATTCATCTTGGAATTGGAATGCATTCTGCTGTCTTGCACAACTAGGTAGAATAAATTTAAAAAAAAAAATTTAAACGTCTTGCTTGAAAATGTGTCTACACACACATAATTTAGAGTTCAATGTGTGTTTACCCACAATTTGGTTTACAAATTAGCACAAAAGAAATGTAATTAAAAAAAAAAACTGTCAGCAATTCTTGTATCATATAACTTGAATAGCATTTGGCCCACTGCATCTTAATTAAATCTTACACTCCAAGAGTTTCTCTTAGCATCACAAACCCAAAACCTGTCATCCAAATATTTATCCATTCTTTCTGGCTTACTGATGTTCCCTTTTGTGCTTTTACTTTAAAAGAGTTTACCCCTGCAAACTACCTACCTTTCACTTATCCCCAAGGCTGTAAATTTCTCTCTCTATCCATAGAATTCCTTCCTTTAATATCCATCTTAAAACTGTACTTCTCAAAAGAAGTTTTCTCTTATTACATAAGCACAGTTCACAAAGTTGCATTTTTCTTCATCTGACGGTCACAGTCCTATTGTGATATTACCAGTATTAATAATCCAGGGAGTCTGGAATATGGGGTGGGACAGATAACCTGGCCTGGATGCTATTTGGTTTTATTTTATCTGTGTAGTAGGTTTCTGGGGGACGTGATGTGCAGACCCCATTCTTAGTCTTAGTGCTATAGAGGACATTTTAAAAGACAACAGTAAAAAGACTTCAAATGAATGGATACATCGTCATCTCCCCATCTCTAACTTATTTATTGTTAGAATTGCCTGTTTATTTCCTGGTTTGCTTTTATTTTCCAGTGAGAACTGATGAGACAGACATGAGC